TATAATATATGTGATTTCCCTTCAAAGTTTGTAGCTACAGGCTGATACTAAGAAAGAAGAAGCGGTCATTCTGCATCCCCTCTGCCACACTCTTTCTGAAGTTTTATAACTTTGCTGTATCATCTGTATAACCGTGAAGATGTTTCCTGTGTGTGTGTTTGTTTGTGCTGTGATGATTCTGACCCATGCTGCTGGTGAGTATTGTGAGTACAGTTTTATTTGTAAATGGCGGCAAAAAGTTCATTAAGTGTCCTTTTTTCAGTTCTCCCCGAAGGAGGGAGTGGAACTAATCAAACAGGTCAGTAAGCATACTGCAACATGTTTCCAAAAATGTGCCCCTTAAGTTTTTGTCTAATTATATTATCATCTGCAGTTGCATAACATGATTTGAAATTTATTTCCTGTTTGTTTTCTATTTACATGTGGCCAAATGGCTTAATGATTTAACATCAAAACATGTTATTTCTAAGTCACTTTATTGGGTTAATAAGAAAGAAAGTTATACATGAATAAATAAATAATATTTAGATTATAAGATTTAGATTAGTGTCATAAATTAATGAGAAAAACAAACATAAGAAGGGCAAATTCATGAGAAAAATGAAAAAACTGTGTAAACTAAATAGTGTAAATTACTGCAGTTCACCTTTCAAGCTGAAAAGAAGTTTGAACACTTGTGATCGCAGACTACAAGATAAATAATTTAGTGTAGTTGCCTTGGCTCTCTGGCTTGGCTTTGAGATCAATGTGAATAGCACTTACCATTCTGGAACATTTAAATTTACAATGATGGACTACAAATAAAATAAAGGCAACTAATGTCTGTCTTAAATTGGCACAAGGAAATCATTCCCCTGCTACACACATTTTAGATCCTAGATTCTGATGACAATACATTTTTCACACATTTGTTTTTTCTTGTTAACTTTTCATTGTTTCATGTAACTTGGTATTTGTTTTCTCGAGAAAAAAACAAAACAAAACATTAGCTTAATGTTATTTAATCAGCAGTGTTTTGTGAAATCTTATTTTTAATACACCTCAGCACTGTAATTATGTGCTCTGCCACTTTCTGGTTGAGTAAACACTTGCAGCTGATTTGTTTGGGAGCAACTATAAGGGAAGAGATTTAATGAACTGGCTTCTTGCAAAGGTGGCATCGTATTACTGTATCATACCTGACATCAGTGAGGTCTTTAGATTGAGCCATCCTTTTACAAATGTTCGTAAAGGCGGAGTGCAGCATTGCTGATAGAGATATGGACAAAAATCCAAACATACAGTTTGTATTTAAAAGATCCTGAGCTGAGTTGAAAACAGTTCAGGTCATGGTAGTTTAGAGAAGTTGAAAAAAGAATGCAACTGGACTTCTTTAAGTTTGTGAAGACATTTCACCTCTCATCCAAGAGGCTTCTTCAGTTCACCTAGACTTCTTCACAAACCTAAAGGGCTCTGCAGTTTTGTTCATTTTTTATACTCTCTCATACTCTCTTTTATTATTGTAATGGTCACTTTAAACCCACATTTGGGTGTGAATTAAAGCTACAGAGTGTAAATGTTGATCTCTCTCGGAAAAGTGTACAAAAGTGTACAAGTCATAATTTCCCCCAGCCAAAAGTCACCTGGTCAAGAGGTCCTCTGATTGTCCTGGTGGTTGGACTCTGTTGAGTGGTCGCTGTTTCCTCTACGTTCCAAGACGCATGACATGGGCTAAAGCAGAGGTAGGTTTATTCCATTTGTATTGTCATCCAAAATGGATTAATCCATATCCTTTTACTGTAACTGAATCCAGATGTTGCTCCCTGCTTTCATCTCTATTGAAGAAAAACTGCTTGTTCATGGGGGCCAACCTTGCATCTGTGCACAGCAGCACAGAGTATCATGGGATTCAGCACCTGATAGTGACTGCCAGTCATGACTACCAAGAAACTTGGATTGGAGGAAGTGATGCACAGGAGGTACTTTGTTTAGCCTGTTTCTATTTATCTATGTCTGAATGAATCAGAAATAGATCCTTCCTGCTGTGCTAATAGAATATACGTAAAGCCGACAACGGGGAGAGTATTTACAATGAAACAAACAATGATAATAGATTAAATCAAAAACTGCATGAAAGACGCCTGAGCTGGAGGTAGGTAGAGAATGCAGAAACAGTAGCGTTGCTAAAGCAGCTTTAATAGTGTATCTGTGAGTTTAACAAATGAAGTAGATATGATCTGGGCTTGCATCAATGTTAGCTCATCTGCTGGGACAGTGGCTAAGCTTGTCTATTTGGTGTGAATAAAATCAGTGCTATGCACGATTTCTCTCATCTAGAACAAGGCCTGGTTATGGATAGACTTGTAGTCAAGACCGCCTAATCCGAGACCAAGACAAGACCAAGACCAGAGGGTATCGAGACCAAGACAAGACCAAGACCAAGACCAAGTTGAGACGAGACCAAGACCAAGACCGAGTCGAGACGAGACCAAGACGACC